TCAGGGTAGCACTGTGCCACAGGACCTGAGAGCAAGCACATGACGTCATCGCAGGTCACTGGGAAGCACACAGCACTGGTAACCAGAAAAGGGCTTTAGCGGGACTGCATCTGTACAAAGTGAGACCCCCTGTGTGTGGGGTCTTTACAATCTTCACTGCGGATCCTGGAAAATGGAAAGACGTCTGTCTGAAGGTGGGTGTTTAGCAATGGCTCTTGAGCTCATCACTGGGTGAGCTGTCGCCAAACTGAGAGGCGCTCTTCCACGTGCCTGAGAGTATGTTTGCTGCCCTGGCAGAAAGGTCATTTGCAAGTAGGGCCACTCATCCACTATTGTCAAATTTGCTCCCTAACGCACCACGAATAATGGAGGAGGGTTATCTGTCTATTGTGTTATTTTCATTGGTCAATAAAGAGACTGCCTTGGCCCCTTGATAGGACAGAAAATTAGGTAGGCGGAGTAAACAGAACAAAATGCTGGGAAGAGGGCTATGAGCCAGATGCCATGGAGCCAGCCACCAGGTCAGACATGCTGAATCTTTTCTGGTAAGCCACTACCTCGTGGTGCTACCACGAGATTATTAGAAATGGGTTAATATCAAGATATGAGAGTTAGTCAGTAACTAACTCTCTAGAGATAAAAGGGCCAGGCAGTGCTTAAATGAATACAATTTGTGTGTTGTTATTTCTGGGACTAAGCTAGCCGTGCGGGAGCCGGGTGAGGCGAAAAGCAGGCCTGCCTGCAGCTCCTTACTACACCACGAAGACCTCTCAGTACGCCAGGCTGAACTGTCTACTGAAGTTCACAAGAGAGCCAGCCCATCTTTGAAGAGAGCAGAGAGGCTGACCTATCTAGTGAATGCTGGGGACATGGCAGCCCGACGCCCTGCCCTTGCCTATGCGCCATGCATGCGCCATGCATTCCTGCCTCACCCTGTCCTCAACTCGCACCTAGTCCTGCTCTGGCTTATCCCCCTGCCTCAGCACTCCGGGTTTCCTTTGGTATCTGTTTTGGTTGGCATTTAGCCATTTCCTTCTCCAGATGCTTCCCTTCTTCCATCTGGTCTTCTTTCCCCACCACATTCCCTGCCCGGTCAACGGCAGTTCTCGGTCAAGGTATTGCTACCAAATGCGTTCCAATGCAGCTTCACTTGAGAATTCTTCCCCATCACGACTACTAATTCACAGTTAACCAACATGTTTGTGGGAAACCATCTTTATCCTCCCGTACTTGTGAGGAGGAACTGCCTGTAGTCTTCTCCATGCAGTGCAAACATTGCCTAGCTGTCCGGACCTACCACACACTTTTGGGGTTAGAAGGACGGAAGGAGACCATCACCTCTGATATACTGGAACAGGGCTCCAGTTTGCTAGGATCTCTTTGAAGTGAGTTTTCAAACAAGACAAAAATTCTACTTCCTAAGGCTTTGCCTATAGGGTTTTGTTATTGTTGTTTTCAATTTATGTGCTATGCTTCCAAGATGGGTACTAAAATATATTTAACTGCTTCAAGGCTAGGAGCACACAGGACTTTGATCTGGCAATTGATATACTATGGAGTATCGAAGGTTTGTGTCTTTTAGTGGTCACATCATATAGAAGAAAAATAAATGATTCTGTAATTAGAGATCTGGGCCTCAACTTCAGCATTTCTCTACCACACAGCACTGGTCAGGTACTTCGTGTCAATAACTGGAGCTATCAACAGCTGCCACACAGCGTTTCCATGAGGATTGCATCCTAGAGGTGACACAGAAGGAAGCCCAAGAACGCGGCCCTCAGCAGCTGGAAGGAAATGTAAGAAGCACAGTGCGAGCTCAGGAGCTTTCCCCTGCCCACCCTTTCGGAGGATCCTTCCTAATCTTCACTGTTTTGTGATGCAGAATCAGAAAAGTGGTAGGAAAGTGAGTCATGGTTAGGAAAGTTTGGGGGACACACACGAAGAGTTGGAATGTGTGGGTAAAGCTGGAGGGACCAAGAGAGACTTGACCTGCTGTAGATTCTGTATTTTACATGGCACTGAGAAATCCAGTAAACAATTGGTTGTTTTGAAATCATGGTCCCTAGACTATATAGCACTTTTATACTTATTATAAAATGATACGGAAGCGAGTATTCTGTCCACTTTTAAAAACTAATCATATACTGTGGGGGTGGAAGTGATCTACAGGCAAAAAGAAGTGGGGGTGAAAACCTGTCTGATGCGGGAGAATTGTCTGTATTCTGTCAATCATATTTTAATAAAACGCTGATTGGCCAGGCAGGCAGTATAGGTGGGAAAACCAGACAGGAAGTAGAGGTGATGCAATGAGAACAGGAGAATTCTGGGAAGCAAGGAGGTTCCTCTGCCATTCCTGTGCAGACCACCGAAGAGGCAACATGTAAGCTGACAGCTGAAAAAGGTACTGAGCCCGTGTGGCTAACATAGATCAGAATAATGGGTTAAGATAAGTCATAAGAACTGATACGTAGCCTGACCAAATGGGCCAATCAGTTTATAACCTTATGGAGTCCTGTGTGTGATTTTCTTTGTTGCTTGCCGGCTGTTGGGGTACCAGGAAGGACAGAAACCCCAACAAGCCGGCCCTCATGTTACACCTGTCTCCAGTCTGGTGGGAGGGACTGGGGAGGTACAGGAAGGTAGTCTCCAGCAGCTGGAGGCCAGGCCCAGTCCCCACCCTGACTCACTGGCTCTGGTGAGTCATGAGCACCTCTGTTTCAGTTTCTTCCCTTGATCACAGGACAGGAGGACTGCATCATCACGGCACCATGTTGGCCTTTAAAAACTGGCCTGGAAAAATGCCAAGAGTCGAGTCCTCCCTGCTTCGGCTTCTACTGCAGTTTAGGCAGTAGTATCATGCATATGTGTTCATAGATTTATATGTCTAGATGTGTCGGCACATGCGAGAGCATACACATACACACATAAACACACTTTGGAGGTAATCCTGCACACAATTTTCTGAGAATCATCTGATTTAACATGATACCATCTATGCCCATGCATAGATGACCCTGAATCTAAACAACCCTGAATCTATAGTAGATTTTTTTTCCTGAAAACCCCAAAGGAAAGGATAATAGCCTCCCCATGCGCCTATGTGCACCACATGCCTGCATGCACCATACACCTGCATGCACCATACACCTGCATGCACCATATACCTGCGTGTGTGCACCATACACCTGCGTGCCCCATACACCTATGTGTCCCATACACCTGTGTGTGTGTACCATACACCTGTGTGCCCCATACATCATCTGCATGTCCCATACACCTGCATGCCCTATACACCTGCGCACCCCATACCCCTGCATGCACCATACACCTGTGTGTACCATACACCTGCATGCATTCTCCATTTCTTTTCCTGGGATACCTGACATTTGTGCAAGACAGATGACCTCCTTGCCCTGTCTCATCCATCTCCCTTCTTCCTCATCTAGGCTAAGTTCACTTATTTACCCTGCACACCCAGAACAGCACCTCGCTCATACCAGCCACTTTGGTAAAAGTCACAAACTTGTGACAACAGAAGAGGCCTCTTAGGGCTGTGCAGGGATGAGAAAACAGGCTTGTGGAAGATCCTCACTGGAGTCTACACTTTGCACCTCACACTTTGTCTCGGTGCTTCCGTAGACACCTCTGACCCTGGGGCAACAGAGAACCTGGGTGTGGGGGGGGGGCACTGAAACAGCCAGCTCTGAACTCCCTCGAAGCAAAGGAGTCCGAGAATAAACCCTTACCTTTATTTATGGAACAGCAAAGCCCAAAGAATAATGGTGACGAATAATAATAGCTCAGCATAAGTGGCAGCTTTCACCTAAAGATCTCAGGACTTCTGAGGGTGATGTGGGATTTCTGTCTGTATGCTATGATGACCACTGATTAATAAAGAACCACTCTGAGCCTATGGCAGGGAAGAAAAGAACTAGGTGGGGAAAACTAAACTGAATGCTGGGAGAAAGGAGGAGGAGTCAGAGAGAAGCCATGGAGCCAATAGACACTTGGAACTTTACCCTGTAAGCCACAGCCACATGGCGATACACAGATTAATGGATATGGGTTAAATTAATATGTAAGAGTTAGTCAGTAAGAAGCTAGAGCTAATGGGCCAAGCAGTGGTTTATTTAATACAGTTTCTATGTTGAGTATTTTAGGGCTAAGTGGCCAGGAACCAACAGGCGGCCTCCTTACTACATGAGGCCCATACTCCACAATGTGAGGTGTCATTATCTGTTCTTGGTCACATGGGTTAAGAACCTGGGTGCTCCCTGACCTCACCGCAGGCTGATCTGAGGACACTCTGGGGCCATGAGTCCTCCTCATAATTTTCCCCATCCTTATCAACACCAAAAGCAGCTCTACAGAGTGGTTACAGCGACAGGAATTTATCTTGTAGGTGCCCCTACAACTGACGCAGCCCACGCCAATTTAGGGTGCAGAGAAATGACAACACTCGGCGCTGGGTTATGTCATCTCCCCTGTCAGATTAACAGAGCCTGGAATTTCGTGAGCCTGTCCTAGAAAAAGGGCAACCACAGGCACATTTGACCTGGAGGCTTTGCCTACCCACACAATTACAGCGCTCCCAACCATTCCCCAGTTATTTAAGACCTACACTGCAGGCCAATTAGAGGGAGTTATGACGGCAAGCCCTGCAGAGGAGTCCATGAGACCCAGCCAGACAACATTCTTCCTTCTTTGGGCTGAAGAGGAAACAGTGGATTTGAAGCTGAGAGCTGGTCGCCAACCTACCCAACCCGTGTTCTCACAGGCGGAACGGCTCATCCTCTTTCTCAACCGTGACGGAGATGGTAACAGGTTAAATGGCGGAGACCAAGTGAAAGAAAGAAATTCCACAAGGCTCACCTTTCCCCAACTTGAGCCCACAGCCCTGCTCCTCCTTGTCATGCCAGCCGGCTGGGTATTCTGTGAGCTCCTCTGTGCTACAATTTCTGGGACTATTTGCTGATCTTCTACTCAAGCCAAGAACCATCGTGACCCAACTTCTCAGCCTGTCTCCTCAGGCTCTGGCCCCTTGGAACGGGTGGGGAATTTTACTAAGTTCGAGATTTTCCAAGGTTTTCTGAGAAACCTTCTGTGTATACCATGTGAAAAATAATTCTGTGACCAAGGGAATTTAAGAGACCTGTGTATAAAACATGGTAGACAACTGTAGAGTCTCAAATATTTACAAACAGTTACTACAGAGTCATGGTTTGAATATGAGATGTCTTCCAAGAGCTCATGCCTTGAACGCCCAGGCCCCAGCTGGTGGTGCTATTTTGTAAGGTTCTAGAAACTTTAGGAGGTTCGATCTAGCTGGAGGGGGAAGCAAGCTGATGGGTGTGCACACCCCTGGCCCCTCCTTTTTCTCTCTGGGCATTGTTGCTGTGAGGTGTTTGCAAATACTATATACAATCCACTTAAACGAGATACCTAGAATCAGAATAAACGCAAGGAGAAAGCAGAATGTCTGCCGTGGAGGGCTGGGGGAAGGTGAAGAACTGGAAGCTGCGGCTTTGGAGGAAGCCAGTTTCAGCTTTGCAAAGTGAAACATCATGGCCACCCAGCACCCACGAATATACCGAGCAACACTTAGCACACACTGCAGTTTTCTGTCATGTGTATTTCTCCTCAAATATATGAGATGGTGTTCTTTCAGTACAAGCTTTTCAGAGCCCTTAAATGCTATGTGCACTAGGAATCCTTAAGACTGTAAATGCATCAGCTTATCCTGCTGCACAATCCATTTTACACAGACTGCCTCCTGGGTTCGTGTGCTTCAGAACTCGCTGTAGGCAGGAGATACTGAAGGACAAACTACTAGAAAATATCAACTGCATCACTCTCTTCCTGATGGCCTGGGACAAGTACAACTTTGGGCCTTCAATCCCTATCCTGATAGATAAGAACAAGGCCTGTGTGACTCCTCTCACTGGCTAATGGTAAAATCTACTTTTTATTACAAAAAAAAAGTATGTACACAAAAGAACCTGAAGCATACCAAAGGCTCTTCAAGATGTAGCTGACGACTGAAGGCAGAGGCAAGTCCCTCCACCCCGTCTTCTAAGCAGTCATAGATACCAATAAGTGCAGCCATAGAAGGGGAAAGAACCATGGCCTGGGTGTGCATTATAGCAAAAGGGGAAACCAGGAGTCAGAAAGTCAAGGCTAAGAAGCTGACTTTACTGCTGTCTGACCTTGGACGAGCCATTTGGCCACTGGCTTGAGGCTTGCTTAGCTGTCAAAATGAAGTGTTTGAAGATGATCCCGAAGGTTTCTCCCAGCTGTATAAGTCTATGAAATATTGAGACAGAGAAGCTTTGGGAACTTGCCCCACCCCCTCCTCAGATATTTAGGGGTGGACCCTGTGCTTGGCTGGGTGCTGAGAGGAGGAACAAACTGAAGTCTCAGTACTCTCTGGTTAGCCAGGAAGCAGTCACCGCCTCAGCATCCAGAGGATGCTGTCTATGCAGGGCAACCAGGGGCTTATCTCCTAATTCTCTTGGTATCCCTCCTCTCAAATTTCTACAAGTGTTCCAAAACTGTATTGATTCACCGACCCAATGGAGTCAAGAGGACAACAGCATGGAATAGCTGCTGAGTGGGCAGAGCTGAAGACCTGCAAAGGGTCGAGGATGCTTGGATCACCCCCTGCAGAGCTCAGGGACTTCTAACGACACAAGTGTCAGATACCCAAGTGCTGTGGGCTGGCAGGCTGGCAACCTGCCTGAAGATCCTCCTAGATGGGCGGTGTGGCAGCAGCATGTATAGATGGGGATAAGAGGTCCGGGAAAACTGGCTGGTGGGAAGGGGAAAGTTCTGCATCTGCTGAGGACAGCGACAGAGACCCAGCGAGATGACAAGGAGGTGGGAAGCAAGACAACACACACAAGAAAGACTTGCTGGCAATGCGTGACTGGATGAGGGCTGTGGACAGGTGTTCAGGGGTGGGAGTCCAGGTGCCAGGAGACTGGGACCATTTAAAGGACAGGAGCTGAAGGCCTGCACCCAGGAGCGCGGGCAGCATAGGGGGCAGAAGTGACAGAACTGTCAAAACAGGACAGCACAAGAGGCCATCAGACATGCCTGTCACCTCGGAGACTGGGCTGAGGGGGAAGTTCATGACTGTCCAGCAAGATTGAGGAAGTAATACTGGAAATCAGTGGTAGTGGAAACGAATCTGTTTCTGTCATATTAAAACTGGAAATTAAGATAATTGGGTAAAAGTGTCCAACTGCTTGGCAGGCAGGTTTCTGGGAGAAGAGGTGATGGGGCACTCAGCACAGATTCGTACAGTATGCTTTTCTAGAATAAGTTTCTATCTTCTGCTCTTGATAGGCATTTAGGGTGTCCAGGTACTTTTTCAAAGAGGTATTTGGTATTTGTGCTTGGACGTTTTCTCTTCTATTTGCTTGAAAAATCTGCTTTGTTACAACATAATAAGATTAATGTGCTAAGCTGATCGTGGTGGTACACGCATTTAGTCACAGT